TTTTCCATAGGAAATTGATTTTCAATGATAACTTATAAAGCTTTAAATACAGACCTACTGTGAGTTTCAAGGTTGTTAAATGATGGTATGCTTTTGTTGAAGCCATCCGTTCACATTATTTCAAGTTATTTTTAAAACATCAGTTTAAAAGTTGAATTTCTGGTGGAAAGCTATATGATGCTGTACAGAAAATCTCACCAATCAGATTTGCGGTGAAAGGAGCTTGCATGGAATGCCAACTCCATCGAAGCACTTACTTCCAATAAAGGAAGGATTCTAGTCAAATCTGAATATTAAAGACTTTGGGTTGGTCGTTTGACTTGAGACAGCAAGCAACCACCTAACAACTACCCATAACATCTTAGCAACCAAATAGCAATGCCCCGACAGCCACCCACAAAACCATAGCATCATGCTATTAAAGCCTGAAATGTCATTACAAATGGTATCACTAATATAATGTTAATTTAATCAATTAATGGAAACGCACTAGGGCTGTCAAAAAAAATTAACATACATGATGCTGTTTTGTTTATAGTTGTTTAAGCAACTTAATTAATTATATATGGTTTATAAACATTATTTTGAACATTATGCATTTTTCTTCACAGATAGTCATGTTTAGGGTGACCATATTTTAGTTTTCCAAAAAAGAGGACAGTGGGGGGCGGGGTTCGTGGGCAGGGGAAGGAGGCAGGGTTTCACCTAACAAAGTAAACGTAGCAAGGTATTTTTTTGTTTGGTTGCTTGTTTTGTTTTTAGAATAAATAAAAAGAAAACAAGTCAATAGAACAGAAAAAGTATAGATAATGCTTGTGTTAGAGGGTCATTATTTATAATAAATAAAAAGAAAACAAGTAGAAAGGATAGAGAATGCTAGTGTTAAAGGCTCTTTTCTTTTTAAATAAAACAAGTAGTTAGAATAGAAATAGAATTGAGTGCAAATGTTAGAGGGTTAAGTTTATTTAATTAAAATAACAAGCAGATACAATTAGAATTAGGATTAGAATACAGAGTGCTAGAGTTCGAGGGTCAAATGAAGATGAAAGAGATGTATTTTCAGCCGTTTCTTGAAAATTATTAAACTCAGCTTCATTCCACCAGGAGGGAACAATTCATGAAAAAAATCCATGAAAGTTTTATCACAGGTTAAAATTTAATGCAAAATAATAATAAAATAAATAATAAAAGTCAAATTTTGGGCGATTAAGAAATCCCGGCCGGACGCATTTTTTAGGTCCAAAAAGTCCGGGGAAAAGAGGACGTATGGTCACCCTAGTCATATTATCTTACTGAATAAACGTGCATTAGTAATATTTTGCTCGATGCGCCCTCTTGTGGCCTCAGAAGAGAAGCCAAAAGCTTTTCTACACCCTAACTGAAATTATGCATTTTAAATTTGAATATAATTCGAATTTTGATAATATTTAAGTACAAAATTCGAATTTAGTTTTTCTGCCATTTTGACAGCCCTAAAATGCACCCAAACATCCATTTTAAACAGGAACGATCTAATGCATGTCACCATGTGGCACATATTCTGAGCATCAATGCACCAGATGCTAGACAGCAGGGGTCAGACCATCACACACATCAAGAGAAGCCAATCTCTCCACATTTATTCTAGAGGAAAACCTCCAGTGACACGAGCAATGATGGATTGTCACATCCGTGTTTTAAAATCAGCAGTACAGTGTGCTCTGGGCTGTAAGGACAGGGTCACCGGGGAGCTCGTGCCCTTGTTGGCATTGACTGAACATCCTACAGATTAATTCATAACACGCACGCGCCCAAACATCTGATGCATCTCGAACGCATCTGTTGACTCTGAGATTAATAGTATGAAATAAATTCTTTCATTCTTTCTTCAGTCGCAAAGAAATTAAGGTTTTTGAGGAAAACATTCCAGGATTTTTCTCCATATAATGGACTTCAATGGGGACCAACGGGCTGAAGGCACCTTTCAATGCACCTTCAAAAAGCTCTACACGATCCCAGTCGAGGAATAAGCGTCTTAATTAGTGAAACGTTGTCATTTTCTTAAAAAAATTTAATTAAATTTAGGCCTATATACTTTTTAACCAAATGCTCATCTTGCACTAGCTCAACTTCACGCATTATGTAGTCATGTTGGAAAGGTGAGATGGTTTTTCGTCCTACCCTCTGAACCGAAGTACAGACGAAGAGCTAACCGCACGTGACCTTTCCAACGTGATTACTTAATGCGTGAATTTGCGGACGCGCATCGCGGAGCCAGTGCAAGACGAGCATTTGTGGTCGAAAAGTATATATATTATTTTTAATTTTTTTAAATGACCAATCGTTTCGCTAGATAAGACCCTTATTCCTCGGCTGGGATCTTCATTCCGTTGGCCACCATTGAAGTCCATTATATGGAGAAAAATCCTGGAATTTTTTCTTCAAACACCTTAATTTCTTTTCGACTAGAGAAAGAAAGACATGAACATCTTGGATGACTTGGGGGGTGAGTAAATTATCAGGAAATTTTTATTCTGGAAGTGAAATAATCCTTTAATGTTAGCATATGGTTCGCGTTATTTTTGGGAACCAACTCCTAATGTTCTAGAAACAATCTTTTATGTTTTTAATAACCAAAAACTAACGTTCCCGGAACATTAAGGGAAGGTTTTTGAGTAATTACCTTCTCTAAAGAACGTTCTGTGAAGGTCATTTTTCAGAACCAAAAACTAATGTTGTCTGAATGTTAAAGGGGTCATATGATGCACGCGTTTCAGAAAGGCGGGGCATAGAGGAGAAACAATAATGTACAGTATGTGGAAAATAATGTGTTTTTTTTACTTTAAACCGCATAAACACATTTCATTACACCAAATACACAAAATAATGTTCTTTTTAGCAGCATCATATGACCCCTTTAAGGAAGGTTTTTGTTTGACAACCTAAGAACTTAAACAGAGTTCAGTAAAGCTTACATTACGGTTTATTTGATTTAAAACCATACTGCCCTAGTGAAAAATTCCTAAAGCAATATGAACAGTAAATTTCTGGAATTTCTATCATAATCTGGAACCATTATGGAAAAAATATGAATCCGTAAATAATCAAATAAGACGCTATACTGGATAAAGTTAAAGTTTTCAGATGCTTAATTTGTTATGTTTCACGCGGGAAATCTGGGAAACTATGACCTAAAAGACATACTTACCGTAGTATGTTGTAAATTCTCATTGGGATCGCTTTCTAGTTCTGACAGAATTTCCGTTAGAAATTTCTGATCAGGGCGGGAACCAAAAACGGTTAGCTGAGAATCAAGAATCACTAACCTAAACGCAGCCGACGTTGTTATGGAAATACACGCAGTCCAGATAAACAAACACAATTAAAGCGAGTCAATTAACATTTCGCGCCCAGCACGCGCGGTCTCTAGTGATGCCGCAGTCACGCGCTTCAGCATTTCTGTCGCCTCATCGCAATTCCGCACAAAATAATGCCATTCATTTGTAAGTGTGTATTATTGTGTGTACATACCTGTCATAATTCCGCACGGTGTCCTGCGTGTGGGGTGACTGTGCGACATCATGGCATCCAACGCGTCTCTCCTGCCAGACGCGGCGCTCTGCGCGCGCACACGCTTCCAGTGAGGAGTGCGCGCGCTGTACCCGCGTAACACGCGCGCGCACATTTGTTGGAACCATGCTGCCCATCGAGTAAAAATTATTATTTAGAAATTAGTAAATAATAAATTATTATATAAAATACAAGACATTATTAATATTCTATGTTTACTTTTATTTTTTAATTATCACTAGAATTACATTATTGATGTTTTAAATGATTACTAGAATAATAATGTTAATAAATTGATTTTTTTATTATTATTTAATTATGATTTTAATATTTTGATTATTATTACACTACATACACATAATCATTACAAAATAACGAAATAGTAATAAAACTGTATTTAATAATAAATCAGAAGATCAGTTAGAAGATCAGGCCCTTTCTTTCAGAACACGCAACACAACTCCTTGTTCAAGCTCTTGTTCTATCCAGGCTGGACTATTGCAATGCTCTCTTGGCAGCTTTTGTTAGTTTTGACTGCTTTTATTGTCCTCATTTGTAAGTCGCTTTGGATAAAAGTGTCTGCTAAATGACTAAATGTAAATGTAAATTATTATATAAATACACAAACCACTATTTATAGTAATATATTAATAGTAATACTATAACTAGTGGTTTGTGTATTTATATAATAATTTAATACTTATATTAATATATTATTTATATAATATTTATATATAATAACTATTAAATAGTAATACATTAGTAATTATATTATTACAACATATAATCTTAAATTGATAGTTTTCTTTGTTTCTTTGTTTGTTTAAAGCCAAAAATCCTGTCTATAAAAGCATAAATAGAACTACAGCGAAATATCTATTCATAACACACTACATAACTACAGAATTGATTAATATTAAATATATGCCACGAATTGTTTACTCATGGATTGAGCTGGAATCTTCTAGAATGATTCAACTTTATATAGCTGTACTACGTTTTTAGTTTTGTAGTAACCTGTCTTTGATATGAATTAACATGCAAATTAATAACTGAAATGTAGTCAATATTTAATTTTACTGACACGTGTGTTGAGAACAGTGTTGTTTTAGCATAATTATAATTAAGCAAAATAAGTATCATTTTAATTTAGTTCGAGTTTTAGTATTTTTGTTGTTTTTATTTTTTTTATATTTGTATAGTTTTAAAGTTTTATTTCAGTTTTCGTTTTTGTTATTCAAGTAAAACTAAATTAAAATGAGAAATGTTGACTTGGCAACTAGACGAAATAAAAAAAAAAAACGTTTTTAATATTTTATTTTAGTTAACATTTATTTTATTTCAAGTAATGATTTTTTATGGTTTTAGTTTTAGTTAACTATTTTAACCCTGGTTGAGAAATTTTTTTTTTTTACATTTTACCAGACTGACAGTATTCGGGGTCTGAGTCTTGACAAATGGCGCCCTCTACTGAGACAACTGCAAAACTGCATCCTCTACACTTCAACTCCTTGCAAAAGAAAACTAACAAGTCAGTTTAAGTAGCCACAACATTTACTCGTGTTCGTTTTAGCATGTTAATATAAACCATTAAGACAGAAAAAGAAAACAAGATTGATTGGTAAAAAATAGCTTCGTAAAATGAACCGGCCAAAGATGATGCTCCACTGCTGACTAAAGTTTTGTTCTTCCTCCTCACTGAAAGCCTAAAGAAGCTTTAAAGTAAATACTGCCTCCAAATATACACAACGGAAGATGGGCTGAACATTTTCCACAGATGGTTCTTCATAGAACAATTGAGAAATGTGCAAACTGTACTATTTACATTTAACAAGTTACACTAGACCTCTAATATCAGTCTATGGTAGTGAGTGTAACGTCCGAAAATGACAGACCTCGCAAGATTTCGCATGGAGCGAGATGGGAATTTCATAATATATGATCCCTGGTTCTGTCTCGCCTATTTAAGCGAACATGACGACATGTAGAAAGATGAGCACTATCACTCATACTCAGAGATGTGAACTTTAGAAACAGTGTCTGTTCATTTCATGTGGACTCTGTATATAATACATGGAATATGTTCTCCGTATTCCCGTTTCACAGGGACGCAGAGTCACGTTTTCCGCAGTCCAGTCACAGCTGAAGCCAGTGGTGCCTAAAAAACCCCCACGCAACTCAGTTCCCAAAGCGACTTCGTCCACGAGGGCCCCCCCTTCCCCATCCACCCCGATGAAACGGTGGCTCGTTTCCAAATCTGTCCGGGCCCCTTTCGGGTCCTTGATCCCGCCAGTGCGGTTCCTCTCCTCTAGGACCCATTGGGAGCCTGTGACGGGGGAAATCGTGTCTTGGAGGACCCATCATGCGCATGCGGAATCGCCCTGCAGGGGGTTCTCCGCACATGGGGTTGGGGCCCCTAGGGGGCATCATTTGAGGGGCCATATTGGGAGGGGGCAGGATGGGACGGGGCCCGTTATTAGCGAAAGGGGGCATGAAGGGTGGGCGGAGCCCCACAGGGGGGTGTGGCGGTAGGGGTCCCGGTCTGGGCCCCAGAAACCCCCTGAGAATAGGCGGACTGAGTGCTTGAGCTCCTGTCGGGTCCATGTGAATCTTGGGAGCCTCGAGGGATTCATTTGAAGGTTCTTCGGTTGGGGTTTCTGTTATTACAAAAGACAAAACCATCACTAGCTTTAGTAAACATGTTTAGCTACAAACAGACAGCCTTTGATTTCTCCAACATCATTTGCATTTATATATAAACCAAGTCAAGTTTCCAAGTGAATCAGGATATTCATCACCATCACTTGATTTTATGCATCTGGAACTGACTTGATGGCGGAAAGTGACTGTTTCATATCAGAATAGAGTTTGAAATCACTGAAAATTTTAGTTTTAACAACCCATAAAGCTAAATAATTCAGAGATTTTACAAACCATTATGGTTTCTTTGGAGTTACGTGCACTGGTAAATCATTTACAAGACAATTTGAATCATGAATCGTTTAAAAATTGGACCAGGAACATGTATCAAGTTTTTTAGCCAATTTTGATTTCATGTTGAATTGAATTGTACATCGAGTTACAGCTGACTGATACCTGTGACGGATGGAGGAGGACCTGCGGGGTTCATAGAGGCCACCGGGGCGGCAGGAGGGAATCCTGTTTAAAAACAAGGTAATAATTCATGTTAAGGTGACTTAGTGTTATTATTTCATTCTGGTCTATCTATTCATCTAGACACTGACAAAAGGTTTGGGGTCGGTAAGATTTTTTTAAAGATCATCAAAAATACAGTCAAATTATGAAATATTATTACAATTTAAAATAAGTGTTTTCTATGTGAATATACAGTAAAATGTATTTTATTTCTGTGATGCAAAGCTGAATTTTCAGCATCATTACTCCAGTCTTCAGTGTCTCATGATCCTTCAGAAATCATTCTAATATGCTGATTTGCTGCTCAAGAAATATGTCTTATTATTATCAATGTGGAAAACAGTTTCTGTGCGGCTTCATATTTTTGTGGAAACCGTGATCCATTCTTTCCCCAGGATCCTTCGATGAATAGAAAGTTCAAAGGAACAGCATTTATTTGAAGTAGAAATCTTTTGCAACATTATAAATATTTGTACTGCCACTGTTGAACAATTTAATGCATCCTTGCTGAATAAGGAAACCAAGATACATTTTTTTAAGGATTCTGATTAATAGAAAGTTCAAAAGAACACCATTTATTTGAAATAGAATGATTTGTAACATGATGTCTTTACTGCCACTGTTGACCAATTTAATGCATCCTTCCTGAATAACAGTATTAATTTCTTTCAGAAAAGGAAGTACCTGCAGGCATCTGTGGGGGGTTAAATCCAGGAGGAGGGAATGACGGAGGGGAGGCTCCTGTGATCATGGCTGGAGGTGGTAAACTCATGTTAGGAGGGGGTCCTGGGACATTCAGTGTAGCAACAGGTTGAACTGAAGGGCTCTATAATGTCGAGAAGAGGAACAGCTGTGTGAAAGGACATTTCTAACAGCAATGAGACTTGAGAAATCAAAGATATGTTTATAAGGACATGAGGAGGTAAAGAGTGTTCTGCTGTATTCTTTATTGCACACAAAACACAAATAAACACTTTAGATACAACCTTTTAAACTACACCTGAAAGTTTTGAAATCAAAAGTGAGGATCAATCCTGGAAGAAGTTGTAAAGAATAATGTCACATGTGCAAGGTAATACTATTTCGATTTTTCATGTGAAAAACATATAAAATTGATTTGCTGCCATCTGAAGCCATAGATTCAAAACTAAAGATCTTACATGTACAGGTACTGTACAACATTCAGACCTCAAAACACTGAAGATGTTTCTTCTTCCATCATGTTTTTATACCCAGAGTGAATAAAAAAATAACTACCGTTTAATATTGTATGATAAAGCAAAATCCATTGCCTGAACCTTGCATAATATGCACTCTGAAATGTCAGCACCAACTTGAAGAGACTTTGGAAGTTGGTGTAAAATCCTGTGGAGAACATCCTCATGCCAAGGTGCAGGCATGTGTTTGGCAAACTTATTTTCACCAAAGTGATCTCAGTGCATGATAGTACTTTACAAGAGAGAGCCAGGTTGTTCATGAGAGAGTGTGAATCTGTGGTAACATCTCCATGATGGTGAAAAAATTGTGGATGACATTAAATATACAAATGTAGAAGACAGCAAATCGCCATCATCTTTGACCAGCAACATGACTCCAGTCCATCAATTAACGTCTTATGAAGTGAAAAGCTACCTGTTTGTATGAGACAAATTTATCATTAAGACTTTTTAACTTCAAATCATCCTCTATCCATAATATTGCTTTCTCCAATGAAAAAGTTGAATCAGGAGAGAAATCTGCACAGACCAAGCACCGTTTTCTATTGAAAACGGTCCAAAACAGCTCTAAACAATTATGTGGGTGGATGCTTTTTCACTGGAGGAAGCATTATTATGGACTCGTATTTTGGGCAGAAGGGACGTTTAAAGTTGAAACTTATTTTAACGTTTTAAGTTGTTTCTTATAAACGCAGCTTTTCACTTCACTAGATTGATGGACTGGAGTGGTGTGGATTACTTGTGATGTTTTTATCAGCTGTTTGGACTCTCGTTCTGACGGCACCCATTCACTGCAGACCATCCACTGGTGAACAAGTGATGCAATGCTACATTTCTCCAAATCTGATGAAGAAACAAACTCATCTATATCTTGGATGGCCTGAGAGTGAGTACATTTTCAGCAAGTGTTTACTTTTGGGTGAACTATTCTTTTAATGAAGCATTAGCACAAACTCAGTTTCACATAGCCAGTCTTTGACTACCAGCATAAAGTCTGGTCCACTTTGCAACTTTTCCTAGGCTACCCACTGAATACTTTACACAAATGTTGCCCTGATTTACAGTCTGGACGAATTGACAATATTGTTGACAAAGTCTGCAGATTTGAGAAGACTCGTTTCACTGAAAAATCACAGTGTATAATGAACACGGACTCGGATATTTTTTTTTTTTAGCTTCAGACTGCAAATCGATCCAGTGGGAGGATATCAAACATGTTTTGAGAACACTTACTGTCTTCATTTGCCATGTGTCTCCTAGAGCGTGTTTCTGTGTTTGTTGTGTTCGTAACAACTTGAAAATCTGATAGAATGTGATCCTCAAGCATTTAGTGTATGATTACCAGTTTTAATTTGTAACCATTTTCAAAGCCAGCAAGGGTGTGATGCCTAGTGTTGTAAAATCTGTTCAGATTTGAAAATTTGTGTAGTGTATTCAAGCCTCTAAACAGTGAAAAGTTGGTCTGCGCCGTATTCAAGGCACCTGGCCAGGTCATTTTTTTTTTTTTTATCTTTAGATATTTTTTTTATCTAAAATATTACCACAGTAATAGATAACAGCACAGTGTGCATTAATGTAATCATTGTTTAATGTGTGCATTAATGTAATAATTTCTGTCTGTCCAGAGTTACAGTGGGGAAAATATTTATTTGATCCCCTGCTGATTTTGAAAGTTTGCCCACTTACAAAGAACGGTCTGTCACTTTTATGTTAGGTTTATTTTAACGTATAGACAGAATATCAACAAAAAAATCTAGAAAAAACACATTAAATAAAGGTTAGAAATTGATTTGCATTTCAGTGAGTGAAATAAGTATTTGATCCCCAAGCAAAACATGACTTAGGCACGTGGTGCAGAAACCCTTGTTGGCAAGCACAGAGGTAAGACGTTTCTGGTAGTTGGTCGCCAGGTTTGCACACATCTCAGGAGGGATTTTGATCCACTCTTCTTCACAGATCCTCTCTAAATCCTTAAAGTTTCTTGCCTGTAAAATATATTATGTTATTAAAAACTTTTTGACTGCCTTGAGGCTAAGATTGCCACGGAGAGAATTTAGAGGGAACTTTTTAAGTTTTGCTCTAGTAATAGTTATATATATATATATATATATATATATATATTCGCTTTTCAGCAATTCTTTTTATAATTCTTTATTGTTTCAAAGTTTCAGTGAATGGACTGAATCCCAGATATCCACTGACCATGGCTGGACTTACCATTGGGCTTGACTGGGCTGCAGCCCATGGGCCCTGTCTTGTAGGGGGCCCTGCCTTTACACTCTAAAAAACCCTGGGTTATTTTTTTAACCCAAATGCTGGTTTGAGCCTTTTGGGTCGTTTTTTGGGGTTCTTTTTTCAGTGTTCGGGGTAGTATTTGTGTTACCCAGCTCCTGGGTCAAATGTAACAACCCAGTGTTTGGGTAGTTTTTGTATTACTCAGATCCTGGGTCAGACGTACTATTTATCGTAGAGTTATTTATCGCGGGGATTTTGCGTCTTCTCTTCACGAGAGAGCAGTTCTAAGCAGCATCGAATTGATGCATTCTTCGGTAAAATACAGGTTTGTGTACATTTTATTTTATCTATAAAATCGTTACTGTGCTGTATATCGTTCAATTTTAGGCAGAGCAACATACAGGCGCGCGGTGTGATCACCTTTAACGAGTGTCGCGGTCTTTTCGCGTGATGGAAAAGCCTGATGCTTTGCATAAAATAAACGATTTTATTCATAAAGATAAATGTCCTCGGAGCATTAGAAAAGTTTAGAGGATTTAAGTTAATCTGTAAAAATTATTTAATGTATGAAGTAAAAAAATAAGCTAGTAATATAGTAAAAATGAATACACCCATTATGCTGGGTAAATTTAACACAAGATGGGTTCCGTCCTATATTTACCCAGCCCTTGGGTTAATAACAACCCAAATTGGGTTGTTTTTAACCCTGTGATTTTTAGAGTGTACCCGTTTATGTTTGTTTGATTTGTTCAATTATATGCCAGTCAGAAATGATCAGCCGCATTTCCACTTTAACACAAGATGGGTTCCGTCCTATATTTACCCAGCCCTTGGGTTAATAACAACCCAAATTCAACCCAAACAGCATAAACTGATATTTATGATTATTTCACATAGAACAAGGACACATGTATTGAATTGCGTCTGCGCCAATTAATTTGTGATCACATGGCTACTTTAAACAGCTCCATTAATCATTTAGCTCAGCACATTGATAAAGATAATGATACATTCTCATATGTTCACACCTCATTTCTTTACAGAGGATGATTCTATATTAATGTTCCACTAAATTATGCGATTTGAAGAGTTTTGAGCGCTCTCTCTCCCGTCTCACTGCCATCACACATAGTGGGGCAGAAATGTCATCAAAAGGATGTAAAAAAAAAAAAATTTTTTAAACATTTGCCATTTAATGAGTTTTTAGAGCCTATGATAGAGTTAGCCTATCACACAAACAATTGTTTTTCAGAATATCTGCATGATCACAAATGTAAAATAGGCTAAACAACAAGTTTCAGAGTAACTTCAGACACAAAATTCCGAAAAGAAAATAGACCAAACAGCAGAACCGCTGCGTCTCCAAGCAACACGGTGTTTTGTTCCTCAGCGTTTCACGGACCAGTAAATGATTCAATCAGGCTATAAGTACAGTCGTTTGCGAAGTTAAATGAATTAGCATTTTAAACGATTCGGTTGATTTAAGGATTCAACTCACTCATTAAGACACTTGCTGCCACCTACTGGCGGTTGTAGTTTCATATTTTAAATAAGTAGCTTATTTCATTTTTGCAATCATTTAATATTTCTACATTAAAATGTTATAAACAACATAATTTTTGCAGAATCTAATGGATTTTGTTGATAGTGTTTTCATTTGATTGTTAATAGCCAACATGTCTTTTTATTCTGATTGAATTTATTGATTAAATTTGACTCTGACATAAGAGAACACAGATATGACAATACATTTTTATAATACTAATACATATTTTGGCTTTTTTTTGCTCAGTGTTATTTCAGGGTTTTGATCTCTCAACTGAGAGAACACATCCTGTTTTTCGAATTATAATGAATATTTAATATTACATCTAAACTTTAACTGGGCTAGACATGTTGCATATTAATTGTACTATATATGAACCTCAAAGCATATTTAAATTTTTGTGTATTTTGTGTTACTGCATCATGATTTCATAGTTGAGGACATTTGTAGTATATAGATATAGGACCCAAACATAACCTCAAGGCCAGGGGCCCCCGGCCCCCTAAGTCCTGCCCTGCCACTGACCCTAAAGGCACAATCCTCACAAACACTATAATGTGCATGCAGCATGACGGCAGGACGATGACATCTAGTGGCACGTTTTGCATGTTGTGGCTGCTTGTTCTGGTTAGAAAACCATACAAATACAAGTAGTTTCAAGACTCCCACCTTTAATAGACTCCGTGAAGAAGAGATTAATGCAATAGTTTCTAACTAACAGTACTTAGCATTAGACTGTCCTTTTGGAGATTTCAATCGTTATGCTCGGTTATTTATATACTGTTTTAGAATAATTTCATATACAGATTACTTTAAAGGGGTCCTATT